CAGAAATCGAAAGAGAATGTCTTATTTAGTAACTACTGAAAATGTAAGAGTAATAAATTCAATATTTTGAGAGTACAATTGTTTTAAAAATACTGTAAATTGCAAAGAAATGTATGGTCGTGTGACAAGTCTTTCAAAAAAATTAGTAGTTACTAAATAAGACATTCTCTTTCGATTTCTGGAGTCAGTTTGCTTGTAGCTTGAAAATGCTAATGAGGTAAAAACGTAAAAAAAGATCGGCCTATAGGGGCCACAGAATAATATTAAGTTTGAGAAAAGGATCATGCATTCCTTTACTTACAATTCCCAACAGCCTCCCCCCCTCCCCCCGATGCCCACAAAAAATGAACGTTCCCTTAGCTCTGCCGTAACTTTGACCATTGCAGATGTTGTTGTTTCAGGCTAAACCAAAGTACCATCTAGACAATAATTTTTTTAACATTTGCTTAAAGTGTTTGACCACGGGAAAACTAAATCTACTCTMACATTTAAGAATAAAAATTATTTTATATATATTCTTTTTTTTCTTTCTTATAAATTCAATCATTTCAAATGCTGAATCAGTGTTACCAAGACAACTGTTGTTATAGCAACTGCCCATGACATGATTAAGGGATAGCGTCTCATATCAATTCACCAATTTCTTCAAATTCTGGTATCCTCATTTTTCCTATTTGTTTCATTGTTACCAGGGGCAACGGTAACTATGGTTACCTCATATACCACTGATATACCCCCTGGAAGACTACGAGTAGGAAAATTACTATCCAATCCTTGAATTGTAGCGACGCTATCTCGTCTTGATGGGAGGTATAGTGCTTTCTAAGATCCATGCGGATTGCGCGCATCTGCTTCACACACTCATTCTGCGAATCCCTCAGCGGTTGGATMGCCTTTTCTAGCGTTGCTAAGTCTACTCCCTCCTTAACACTAACATCATCGTACTCATCTTCAATACTACTGGTGTTCCCTTCGAGGTCGGGCGTAGATCCACCTGACCGGTCAGCGGAGCTCCTTCTCGATCCCTTAGCAACACCAAGCCTTGAACGTCCAGAAGAGGGTCGTTTTCTCTTGGATGGTTTCTTGCCAGGCAGGTGTACGCTCAATACACTGGTGGTGCGTACCATAGGCGCCTTGAGGCGGTACTGGGTCTTGATGATTCCATTGTTTTCGTATTCCAGTAGGTCTGTCATGGGGTCCCATGGACGTATACTAGTAGGGAAACACCAAAACATTTACCAATAAATATTAGAAAATCAGTGCTTTATGAGAACACACAGCACGCACGCATTTTTATTTTGTATTATAAAATAACTGTTATGAATGTCGCGCTCTGATTGGTTTGGAGCGCGTGCTTTATGACAGCACACTGCACGCGCGCGCACTTTCAGTTGCGTCATTCCTATCTATTATTGTAGTTTGTATTTTATAAAAGAAAAAAAAAACTTGCTTGCTGTGCTGTGTGCAGTCATAAAGCACTTGGGGATTGGCAGAACACTCGAGAAGTGTTGAGAAGCACTCCGCTACGCTGTTGTGCTTCTCCTAACACTTCTCTCGTGTTCTGCCAATCCCCGCGTGCTTTATGACAGCACACAGCACGCGCGCGCGTTTTCTATTTCTTCAGTAGCCCGTTTTCTCAAGGTTGCGTGCGCATCCAAATTTATGACACTTGACGGGCCACGATACCAGAACACGAGCTTTATGGTATGACGAGAGTTATCGTACATTGCTATTAAATTTTTTCAATAAGGATTCATAAAATCGATTATTGTCCTTCTTTAAATAGAAAACTGTCTTCTCAATTTTACTGAATTTGCGTTTTTCAGTTTTGTGGCCCGTCAAGTTGGATGCGAAACCTTGAGAAAACGGTCTATTCGTATCCAAAATATTACTTGCTCTAATTTGTATTTTAYAAAAGAAATAAAAAACTTGCTTGCTGTGCTATGGGGAGTTATAAAGCACTTGGGGATTGGCAGAACCCTGGAGAAGTGTTGAGAAGCTCTCTGTTACGTGTCGTGCTTCTCCTAAAACTTCCCTGGCGTTCCCCAAATCCGCGTGTGCTTTATAACTAACTACAGCACGCGCGCGCGCTTTCTATTTCTTCACTGTCGAGAAGTGTGACATTAGTTATGTCAAGGAAAACTATCTTAAAAAAGAGTATTAAACCAATAAGGATGAACATAGTGTATTTGTAGACCCATCGATTCACAGCGCCATTAGCGTCTGGTGGCTGTACCCACTGCACGCGCGCGCGCTTTCTATTTCTTCAATATCGAGA